GTATTGACTAATATTACTCGGTAAGCGACACACACACACACACAGTACACGCACAACTAGGCACACCCAGGACACCACACACACACAACATCATCGCAACCGCGCGAGTCACACTCCAGCACCACTCACATTAGACAACACCTCTGTGAGTCACTACGTGGACAACACACCACGATGACCGTCCTAGTTGGTCCACCAACACGCGACCCGCCTTCGGTCGAGTACTCAGACACACACACACACACACACACACACACACACACACACACACACAACAAGGTCACAGGTTATAATAAAGTAATACAAGTCAAAGTAAAGTATTGAAAATAATAAATAAAAAAGTATTTGTCTTTTTAAATTCATAGACAAATCATAAATACATAATTTTTAAGTTTTCTTAAATACAATACTATGACTTTAATATTATTTATTTTATATAAACTATTCTAAACTCTTTAAAAAAACATTTTGATATACTCTGTTCTGTTTCTTGATTGAAAGTACTTAATGATGATACTTTAAACGTACTCTGACTCTTTGCATTCTCCTGCCTGCAGCTGCACGGAGGTTCTGCTCTCTGCCGGTTCTGTGAAGGGTTCTTCCTGCAGAACATGGAGGTTCTCCTGCAGCGGGACGACTTCCACCGCCTGCTGCTGGCTGTCGCCGGGCAGAACTCCAGCCCCGAGGATCCCCCCCCCCTCCTGAGGGTCCTGGAGGCCCTGCTGATCCACAGACTGAACGACCTGCACTCTGCCTGTCGGGGGTGAAACTAGAGACTGTGTTAAAGACGTGAAGTGTGTGTGTGTGTGTGTGTGTGTGTGTGTGTGTGTGTGTGTGTGTGTTTGGGAAGAGCAGCCATATTCTGTTCAATCTTCTTATGGAGATGACTGTAAGAAGACTTTGGGAATTCCCTGCTATTTATTAATCTGAAAACAAGTGAACGTTTCTGCAAAAGAGGAGAATATCTGAAACGATGATAGAAACAATATTCTTAGTTGAATTTCCTGTTTCCTGTTGCTTTTTATAATTTTGCTGAGAATATTTTAGAAGAATAGATTTTGTTAACACCTTATTCATGCTATTTATTAATCTTGACACATTTCTAAACAGTATTTATAAAAATTTTCACAGACAGTTTTGATATTCAATGAAGTCAAATGGTGAAACTTCTCTCCTGTTCCTGTCGCTGTAAATAAAACATGTTCTTTCGTAACATTGACTGATTGTTAAGTGACTGCATACATCACAACATTATTAGTTAATTAATAATCTCTTTATTCAAAACTAATAATTAACTAAACACGTGTTTTTGTTTACTCACCATGTTGTCTTTTATAATATATATATACACAAATAAAAAACAGACCAAAGTGAGACATTGTAAATCCTCTGCAGCTGCACGATGAACTGTAAGTGCGTAAAATATGTACATACTCTGTTTGTATTAGAGTTCTGCAGGAATGAGTCCTAAAACGCTGAAATGAGTCTGCATTTTAGCACTTCCTGTTTGCTTATGATCCGCTTTTTAAACATACTATACGAGGACTTTTGTTTAAAAAAAAAATACACTTTTGATTTTTTTCAACATTATATAAAATTACTTTTGTCTTTTTCAAAATTATATTTTACACATTCTGTACTTTAATTTTTTCAAACATACTATATTACAACTTTTTAAGTTTGCCCACAATTATATTTTTGACAAATGACTTTTTAAAGTGTACTTAAACAAACTATACTATGAGGGTTTTAATTGCGTTTTCTGAAATGGTATTTTCCACATACTTTGCTACTACTTGTGTTTTTCAAAACACTGACCTTTTTCCCAACATAACTAATTCAATGCTTTTCAACTATTCTATGATTTTTATGTTTTTCTAAAAATACAATGAAGTTTTAAGTTTTTTAACACTTTATTTGTGTTTTCTGAAATTAGATTTTCCACATACTTAGATGTGTTCAACATACTTTACTAAGACATTTAAAACAAGTTATACAAATGCTATAAAATCACTTTTTCAACTTTTCAACATACTTTACTATGACTTTTAATTCAAAAACAGTATTTATATTATACTATAATCTTACATGTATATATTTGTTCACTTTATTTTCCAAAATGATGATATTTGTAACCATAAAGTGGTGTTGATATGTGGAGATCATCCTACTAAATGTTTGTTTGCCACAGAGATTATTTTCTACAATAATCCAACATCACATGGAGAACCAGGGAGATGCTGCCTTCAGGGACCACGATAGAGACCCCCTGTCTGCTCTTCGACCCCCAAAAGAAAGTGTGCACACAGCTCCAAAGTCAACAGATTTATTTCCTTTAGCACTGAAGTTGTTCACAGTAACATCACGAGGGAATACATTGCCAGTGGTTTATCCTGCAGAGTCCGTTCAGTGTGATTCCCCCCGTAGAAAAAGAGGAACGCGGACAATGGAAGGTATTGCTTTAATTTGTACTCTCTTGTAAACCCAGCGATCTGCAGAGAGCTCCCTCTTTGAGAGAATGAAAGGAGGATGCATTGCACGGTTACTGCGTGTGTTCACAGTAATCAAAAAGGGTGGAAAAAATAAATAATAAAGAAAAATAAAACACGTAAATAACTTAAATACATAAATAAAGAGAAAAAAGGGAACAGGAGAACAATCCCAACGACGACATGCAAAGAAAAGACGAATGCTGAACATGCAAACAACCGCACGAGGTCAACGCTTTTTAAATACGCCGTCAGAAAATTATTTACAGATGAGTGTTTGTTTGTTTGTTTGTTTGGGGGGGGCGACAATTATCAACAAAGGGTTCGTTCCTCTCAAAGAGGCTAAGTCTACATTCTTAAATTACGGTAAATCATTTTTCAGAAACGTATATTACAGATTTCTCTCGTCAGAAACAAAAAGATAACAAAAAATAATAACTTAGACATGAGAAAAATATCCTTTAAATAATGTGACGGTAAGAAACATTCTCTATCATATAAATAACTGAGAATACATTAAATAATAATAATACAAACAAATGACAATCAAGTACAAAAATATACACAGCAGTTCAATATTGTAAAAATTATAATCAAATAAAAAATGCAACAGATTCTGACTCACTTGTCAAAAGTGCAAAAAGGAAACAGACACATTTTATTAACGAGGCCCGGTCATAACAGCAACAAGGGGAACTTTATTTATTTTAATTTAATTTTAATTATCTGTCTAGAAGCTAACATGTGTTGGCATTATTTAGTTAAAATACAGAGAACTAATCTATTTCATTTGCACTGCGATCTTTACTAACCCTAATACTACTTTTCTATTCAAAGACGAGTTATTGATTTTTTTAAAGAAATATTCGTACAAAGGCAGAAAGTAACAACAACAATAAGTAGTAATATTCGGTCTAAAAAATGACAGAAAATGTGAAACAAATCCAAAACCCATTTGGGGTTTAAAATGTCCAAGAAAATTGAAAATCGGCCAAAGAGATTCCTTTAAATGTATTGTTTTATCAGAAGAAAACCCAATATTTATTCACTTTATTATGAAAAGCAGAACATATTCATAATTGAGGGGCTGCAAACTGCATTTCTCCATTAAAATGACTGGTTATTTTCAATCAATGCACCTCTAATGTGTACCATCAACTCTTGTCTCCTATGTGTCCACAAAACAAAACAAATCTCTGTTTTTACTGCAACAAAAGTTACATAAAACTTGAGGAACTTAAGCAAAATCTGCCTCCATTTCGGCTCTACATTCACACAAATATCAGATCTATAATATGGCTTTTTATCGATCAACGACGTAAATCCATGTCTCTAAACTTGACTGTAAAAATGTTAATCGCTGTTGTGACCGGGCCTTTTACAAGAATACAAAATAAAATATGGCAACACAACTCTAAAAACATAATGTCACAACTACACTTTTTATACATACGGAACATTATTTAATCTGTACAACAGAATAGATCATTCATTTTTGTAATATGACCCCTCCCCCCACCACCCTTTCTATCATACTCTAATGGGCGACTTTTTTATCCCATTTTTACAGAAGAGAAGATCCTGCCGTTCACAAAGACATTAAAAATAATTACAATCCAGCCAGCGTCCGTCTGTCCGTCCGTCTCCACTTCTCATTACATCCCGCAGAGAAGTTAGGGTTGGAGTACATACAGTAAGCGTGTTTCTATCTATGTACATGTGGGAGAATCAGGAGGAAGAGAAAGCAGGAGAGGGGATGTGTGTGTAGACAAACATCACTGTCTTAAGGCTTTTTTCTTCTTCTTACAACTCCTATGAGATGTGTCTATTGCTGTGTCTCAATATAGATACTTCAATTAGTCCACTGCCGTATGGAAAACTGTGAGTAAATGCTCAGTCTGTGAATTTCAACCGTGAAGTGTCTCAAATCTCACTTGGCTTCTGTTCCTTCACCGGATATCAGAATCTCCGCTGTTAGCTAGCTGGCTAAGTAGCAACGCTATCGTTCGCTGTACCAACACTGTCTCAATTAGGATTATTTCCTAAGTACACTGCATGTCGTACACTTTAAACACTTGTGCAGTGTGTGAATTTCGAACGAGTAGCGTTGACGTTTATCGCACATGGCGTGTTTTGCCACTGTTTGCTAGCTAGCTAGGTAGAGACGACCATTCGCGGTACCAACACTGTTTTTCAATTTATATTTTTTCCTAAGCACACTTCCATGTTGTACACTGTGAACAATTGTGCAGTGTGTGAATTTCGACAGTGTAATGTTTCAAAATCGCAAACAGCTGCTGCCACTGGACATTACGATTGCTGCTGTTTGCTAGTTAGCTAGCTAGCAATACTAGCGTTCGATGTAGCAACAGACTGCTACGTTCACCCAATACAATTAATGGTGGCTTCTTTTGGACACCAATATAGTGCAACGCTAATATAATAGTCCAAACCCACATGTATACATTATATTTGTATAGTGCACAATAGAGTGGTGCAGGAATGAGTCCTAACACCCTGAAAGGAGTCAGCAATTTAGCACTTCCTGTTCCCTTGAAGTCAATGGTTTCCTGAATTTGTTTTTGTTTGTTATCCTGAAATAAGGTCTGTGGTTAACAGAAGCTGTAGAGATTTGAAAGTGGCACGTTTCTGACATCAAATACATCAAGAAATACCCCACTGGAGAATAAAAAACTACGGTTGCTAACAAGTGACTAAATGAGACGACTAAACGTCATGTGACCGTGCTGTAGTTCCTTTATAGCCTAATGTCAGCTTTTTACAATCACAAAGTGTTGTTAATATGTGGAGATTAACCTGCCGAACAAAGCGTGTAAATATCATAAACGTTTGTTTGACAAAGAGATTATTTTCTGCAATAATCCAAAATCCAATGGAGAAATCCCATTGAACCAGGGAGATGATGCCTTCAGGGTCAAACACAGAAATAGGACATTACTGCACCACTCTACTGTTCACCATCCAGGTATCACAGTGCGTTTTGCATTAATTTGAAGTCGGACACACTTATGCACTCAGAACAGCAAATCTAATTACAGAAGTACGGGATTTGAGACACAGCATCTGTTTGGTCTCACTCTACTGATGGGTTAGAATAAAGGGGGGGAGTGAAAAGTGAAATGGGGGAGGGGAAAAGAGGCGTCTTTTCTCCAGACTTCAGGCGGCGGGTGGTGTCGAGGAGCCGCCGAGGTTAATAGTTATTATGGATGATCCCTGGTGGCAGAGACAAGTCAAGCCATCACACACTTGAGGAGGGTTAAACACACCCCCCGAAAAAAAGACCCCCAGAGAGGAAGGGACAACAAAGCTACATTTGCTACTTATTGTAAAATACTGATCAGCCATTCCCATTATACAGTACAAAATGTATCGGCAAAAATGTTGTGTTTTCACTCCGAGCTATCAGCTTTTCTCTAGTCATGCAAGGCTACCGATCCTTAAGGTTGTTCCTGTGTCCTGTTGCTGTCGGCCATCTTTGTTTTGTCTTTGCCGGGGGGGCATTTAGAGTCATTGGGCGGGGGTGTGGGCTTGCTGCCGGGGGCATGCTTGGCGGGGGAGCTAGGCGTGTCGGGGGACGCTTGTTGGATGTTCTTCTCGTCTGAAAAAAGCTGTTTAATTACGTCAAAGAAGTTACTCAACGGGCTGCCTACACAGACGGGAAGAAAAGAAAAAACAGAGAGAGAGAGAGAAAGAGAGAGAGAGAGAGAGAACAAACAACAGATGAGCAATGGGGTTAACATGAGGAAGAGGAAGAGGTGATGAGGGATGAGAGGAGGAAGAGGAGCCGGAGGAAAGGAGACTCTTCAGCCGAGGGAAGGTTGTACGGTTAAAGGGAGGAGGTATTATTTTTTCTAAAGGGCAAAGATGTTTGTATCATATGGAAGCCCATTTCTGCCAATGTGGGGAAAAAAGATCCTGATAGTCATTTTAGTGAGAGGTTCCCTTCAAAAAATTACTTTAAATGTCCAAATAAAGACTTAGAACCTCAAAATAACATCTTTGTATTGATAAATAATGACTGAGAATCTCTGACTTAACATCTCACAATAATGAGTGACCATAACTTTAAAGGTGACCTATCATGCAAAATGCACTTTTGTACGTCTTCTACATGAATATGTGTCCCCGGTGTTCCAGGGAACTCACCAAGTGTCAGAAAACACAACCCTCTCTATTTTCCTCCATACCCAAATCGCCAATCAAGAGTATAAAAAGGGGCGTTGTGGGAAAAGACCCCCCGGGCGGCGCCCTCTATTTTTCATTGTAGTTTACAGTTAATCTTTTACGATTCAACATAAAAGTTTCAAGGGGGATAATAAAAACGTCTAATTCTTGGGTAGGATAAAGAATATTGAATCAATATTAAACAATGAATTCCATAGGTAAAATCGATAGAGCTTATATTATGTTTTTTTTTTATTATACAATTCTCGACCTGGATAGTAACGATATATAAACTATTAATATCACGGAAGCCGGTATTGGCGATATTATTACGTGAATATGAAAAATAAAAGGTTATTGGTTTGTCTAGTACGTTAAAATGGTAGAGTAAAGGCGGAGTAAAATTGTGACAGAAACGTTTAGTACCCGACTAAGACACGTCGTTTGTCGTGGTAGATAGTCCGGCGACCGTATTACGATGATTGTCGCAGGAGGGTCGCGCGAATCAAGGGTTGCCGTTTACAGGCACCGCCAGAGGAGGCCTACAAACCACCTCAACGCGGGGTTATTCGGCATCGCGGGTGAAGGACACTGCAGAATCTTTTCTACGACAGTTTAGACCTAGGATTCAGACACTAGTCTAGGCAAGGTCGGGGGG